AAATAGGCTGCAAGATGGCTTTTCCTGTCTTATCTCTCTTTGAGTACCTATTCATGTCTGGTTTATTCAGTCGTCCAACATTTGCTTCTTGAACAAGGTCTTCTGACATAGAATTCTCCTCCAAAATATGACTGTTAAGGGTCACTGAGCTAAGCATCACCTCTTCTATTTCACTCTTTCCTTGAAGAGGCGTTGGGGAAGTGCTGAAGTATGGTTCTGATTCTCGAAAAATAATATCCATAGTCATAAAGTATTTTCTAGATGGTGGGTGATAATACTTGTAACCCTTTTGAGTAGGAGAATAGCTAACAAATACACACCAGAGAGCTCTAGGTTCCAATTTACTTACATTTCTAGTATAGATAAAGTAAACACATCCAAACATCTTTGGGGGAATAGTATAGGAATTTGTACCTTATAAAACTTTCAAAGGACTTTTGAAATCAAGTACCAGTAAAGACATTCTATTTATAAGGTAAACCACTGAGAGATCTGCATCTCCCCAATAATTCTTATGTAGATTCATAGTGAACATCAGTGACTATTGTAATGACCCCAAAAATTTAAAAAGAAAATGTATGCAAAAATTTTGAGTGCGGAAGCGAAATAAAAAGTTCTGATTAATATCCCTTACACAATAACCGAAAGAATAAGTTAACTTTAGGAAATACTAGAAATGAAATACTATAAGGAAAACTATAAAATATTTAGACATCTACTCGCCATCTTCCTGCGTAATGGGCTCGGGAACCAAGTCCTCAGAATCTGAAATGGTTAAGTAAGGAATGAGCTACACTAGCCCAGTAAAGACGTTACACTATATCATTGTCTCAGAAGTAAATATTGGTAGAAAAACAAAAACGACCAATGGAGCACAATTTTTTAACAAATTCATTAATCAATAATAAAACTTTTTACTGTACACTCACCTCGGTGAGATTTATGAAAACGACCCATATAAATAATAACATCAAAAATATCATGAATTCATACATACTCTGTAACATAGCACATGTCATACTTTTATATTTCAATCATCAAACAACAATTTCTCTCTTTTATCAGCCTACTAGTATCCATGGGGATCCATAGGGGTCTCCGCTACATGTGAACCATTAACTTTAACAACTTAATTCCAGGACCGTCCCCATATTCCGTTCGGCATGGGCGCCAAAACAATAAAGCTCAATACCTCGTCCGGTATGAGGGTGAAACGGGCCGTCCCCATACCCCGTCCGGTATGAGCGCCAAAACATTTAAAGTCTCCATACCCCGTCCGGTATGAGACAACGTTCCTGGTAGGGTTCCTTATGAACCCGGTTCGTCCACCATCTCCCAGGATATCTAGTGAGGCTGTCAACTTATCCATTTATCAATTCACATACATTTTCTATTTTTTCTTAGTTTTCTATTCCTCACATAATCATGAATACTTAAACAAGTAACGAGTATCCAGCAAGGCAAGCATATCATCGGATTCACAAAATCGAGCAGTAATGAAATAAACAGTGATGCATGCATTCAAAATCATAGAATAATTAAATCGGATACTATACTGCATTTAGACTGTAAAATAAATCAAACAGAAACTAACATAGAAATATGTCTGGTTTGGGGCTCTATTAGCAACCGTAATAATTATGTATATCTATTTAATTCATAACATACAGTTTTATCATTTATTAAATTTTAATCTCGTGATAGGAAATAAGGTGAGGGGTCCTTACTTGATTCGATACCGAAAATAGGATTTTCACTGCGCCTACGGGCAGTCCCTAGGTTCCCTGAAATTTTTTTCGGGAGCTGAAATGCACTCAGGGTACCTACACATCTCCCAAATAACTCAAAAATCAGACCCAAGGCCTATTCGGCCAATTTCAGAATTCCAGCACGGTGGCTCCGCCGTGCTCCGATGATGGCGCTGCTGTTTGCGGCGGCGATCCGCCTCGGGTTGGCCGTTTCTGGCCATTTTCGGCCGAGTTCGGCCAAACTTGCATTGGTTCATCTGAGAAAATACCCCTAGGGCCCTCAATGGGTCGAAAAAACACCGAAACTTACCGGTGGCGGGGCTCTCTGGTGCGGTGGCTCCTCCAGCTCGAGTCGCAATTTGGTGTTTTGCTTTGGTCAACCTGTAGAGAAAGGAACGGTGGTCACAATGGTAGAAAAATTACATTGAACGGGAATCGGGAAGGGCCTCATCAGAGGCAAAAATTGAAAAAATCCGCGGCAGTACCGCTGGGCTTTGGTGATATTTTCTGGCTAATTGGCCAGTGTTTTGGCTCCGATTTGGCCACAGGTAGGTTTAGAATCGAATTCAAAGCCAAGGGGAGAATTTTTACCTCATTTAGCGGCCGGAAAGTGCTCTGGTGCGGCAGCGAGTGGCGGCGGTCGGTTCTCCGGTGGCTGGGCTGTCTTCTCCGGCGAGGACTCTGGCGGCTAGGGTTAGGGTTTGGGTGTGGATGAGATTATTTATAACCTTTCGCTTTTAATCTGAGCCGTTCATCGCGATTTAATCTAGGTCGTCCGATCGCGATTAAATATGAAATGAATCTGAGCGATTTAATCTAGGTCGTCTGTACGCGTGCAATCTGGGTTGTCCGTACGCGCTTTTGATCTGGGCTGTCCGTGCGCTCGGGAACGGATCTTGGCCGTTCGATCGCGCGCACCCGGATCGCTTACATGGCTCCCTTCCGCGTGGCCTCCCACGTTAGTGTCTCTGCCACACGACGTGTCCTGGTTGGCCGGGGCTGCTGACGTGGCGCAAGTTTTTTAAATTGCGTTTTGACCTCCGGTTTTCGATTTTCTTTTCAAAAACACCCGCAGAATCCAAAATTTCACCCATTTTTTCCAAAATTATTTTCAGTTAAATCCCAAAAATAATTTTATCCCGTTTTATTATTATTTTTATTTTTATTTCTATTTAATTAAATTAAATTAAATTAAAACCATATATTATTACATAATAAATTATTATATTCATCTAAAAATTACAAAAAAAAAAAGTTAAAATAAAATAAAATAATATTAATAAAAATAATAATAATTTGGAGTGTTACATCTACTTTTCGTATGAGTCTATTTTTCCTTTTAACAACCCAATCCTGTTCACTGGTGTAGGCATAACTTGTCTGATGAATTATCCCATTGGACTATAAATAAGTACAGAGCCCACTATACATATATTTTGTATCATTGTCAGTTCTCAAGATCTTAACTTTAGCATTAAAATGTGTACATATCATTTTATAAAATAATTGAAAACATGAAAACATATAATTTGTTACTTTCAATAAGTAAATCTATGTTAATTGAGTACAACAGTCCTTGAAAGTAACAAACTATCGATGAACAGATAGAGAAGTATTTTGAGTTGGTCTCCACACATCAGAGTGAATAATCATAAAAGAAATAGAACTTCTGTTATTACTCAGATGATAAAAACTTCTTTTATATTTAACAAATAACATGCATCACAATATAAAGAATCCAAAAAAGTTTTCTTAAATAAAGTAGGATATAGTTTTTTTAAAGTAAAAAAGAAAGGGTGCTCCAACCGCCGGTGCTATGGTAGTATTTCTAGATTGTCTTCCTTATTCTCAATAGCGACTTAATTCCCAATCGGATTTCGAATTCTTTTCAAGACGTATAAGTTATCCTGCAGTCTAGTAGTGCCAATTATCTTTCTTGTTCGAAGATCCTGAAAGATACAATAATAAGGAAAAAAATTCAGTTTTACAGTTTAAGTCTCGAGTAATAGTATTAATAGATAAAAAATTATTAACAAAACTAGACAAATGTAAAACTAAAAACAGTTTAATAGTTGTGGTACAATTAATAGAACTTATTTCAGACACAGGAGTATATGACTCATCTACTATACAAACATTCTCTCATTTAGTACAAGAAAAATAGGTTATAAATTCAGTGGAAGAGTCTGTCATGTATCTATTAGCTTCAGAATCTATTACCTAAATATCAAGAGTGAAAATAAGCGGAAGAGAAAGAATGTCTTATTTTACCATATTTGATGTACCAATAGTCGTTGAAGAGTTGAGTTGAGACTGAATACGCTTCAAACTTTAAAGCTCTTCAATTGAAAAAGTTGCAACTGTTGGTGTGTTAGGTGCTTCACTTGCCTCAATCAAGTTTGCTTGAGCTCTCATAGGTCCACCTTTCCTTCTCCTACGTCCTCTAGTGGGTCGTCCATGCAATTTCCAACAAGTCTCTTTAGTGTGTTTCGTCTTGCCACAATAGTCACAATTACGTTGGTCTTTGAAGTGATAAGACTGAGCAATTAACTCGACTTTTTCAACTGGTGCTATGTGGAACATGACAATTCTTCTACTTTTTTGTTACTAAACATAAGAATAAGTTTATTTTAACGAGGGAAAGGAATCCTTACCAAGTATTTTGACCCGTATCTGATCATATTTTTGCATTCTTACTAGCTAAGAAATCATAAATCCACTCCTTTTTTAGCATTTTCTAAAATTTAACAGCATTTCTAGAGCAATTTGTCTGAAAATCTTGATAGTAATCGAGTTCCAGCCATAGTCTACTGAGTTCAGAAAAATACTGAGAGATAGTTAACTCTTTTTATTTTGTGCTGTGGATCTTATTCCGGAATTTATAAAAATTTAAGCATCATTACTCACTTGTAAATATGTAAGAGACGCTGCATTCTATACTTTTGCTGCAGTATCGAGTGAAAGATATGTTCGGACAATGTGAGGTTGCATGAAATTAATGAGTCAAGACATTATCAAAGAATTTTCAGAGTCATATCTACGATATTCTAAACTATTGATATCTGATTTTTTTCCATTATCATTAATATAACCCTACAACCTCTTAGTTTTGATAATCAGTAGATAAGATTTTGACCAAATAAGGAAATTAGTTCCATAAAATTTTACATAATTTATTTGCAATGATGGATTATCAGAATCTGAATAATTAGTTTATTTATTTCTGTCATATTTAAGTACTAGAAACAAGAAAATAATACTTGACTATCCAATATCACAAAGAGAGAACAAACCTCCTAAACACCGCCAAAGCTAAAAAAATTGTAGCAAGACCAGAGAAATTATTGGAAACAAGTGTTGAAGTGGGTGCTAGAACGGAATAGCAGATGGCAAAAAATGAAACAAACACAGAGAGAACCAGAAGCTGAATCAGAAGCTTGAAGTCGGAAAAACAAAGGAGCCGTTGCTGGAAACCCGGGATGAAGCAGCAGTCGTGCGCGAACCAAAAAACCGCTCCGAGTGGGCGCGATGGAACTAGACACTGACGCGAAGGAGCCGGAAGAGCAGCGCGAACCGGAGGCGCTGAGTGTGTGCGACGGAACCTAAAAATGCGCTGGGTGTGCGCGACAGGACCAGACACCGTGCGCGAAGAGACTAGAGGGGCAGGGCAAACCAGAGTAGCCGGGTTTGTGCGATGGGACCAGAGGGTCAGGTCAGGTTGCGCGAACCAGAGTGGGGAGCAGCAGAAACTAGAGGTCGTGCGTGAGGAAGCAGCACGAACAGCCTGGTGCGACCGGAGCAGATGGATCAGGTAGGTCGGAGATGATCACCGGGATAGGGTGGCAGGCCGCCGGTGAGGCTGGGACTCCATTTGAGTGGGTATTGAGAATATTCTGAAAGAAATTTTAAAATTAAAAAAGTCTAAAATATTCTTATTTTGTTCTGATACTAGGTAGAAATTTAGGGTGAAAATATTTATTTTATTTTTTTAATATTTTTATTATAATAGACAACACATATATATACAAAATTTTTAAATATTAATAAAATAATTATCTTTATAATAGAGATACTAAATAATTATAATATTATAAGAAAAATTAATAATAAGAACTATACAAGAAAAATATCACAATTATTTAAAAAATAAAACATAAATGTCAACACCCTTAATACTACCTTTTTGTTCTAATTGCCAAGAAGAGAGGTACTAGGGATTTTAAAGATTTTAGACCCATTAGCTTAGTAAGTTGCATTTACAAGATAATTGCAAAGGTCTTGCCTAATAGATTATCCAGGGTGCTTGGTGAGATTATTGGGGAGTGCCAACATGCATTTGTGGGTGCTAGACAGATTTTGGATGCAGTTATGACTGCAAACGAAGTGGTAGATGAGTTGATTTCGGGCCAAAAAAAAAGGAATTTTATGCAAACCTGACATAGAGATTACATACGATCGTGTTAGTGGGGATTTTCTTGAATGTATGATGAAAAAAAATGGGTTTTGGTCAAATAGATGAATTGAACGCGCAACTATATCACAACCACCTCTTTTTCTGTATTAGTTAATGGAGGCCCATTCAGATTTTTTTCTACCTCCAGCGGGTTGCATCGGAGTGACCCCCAATTCACTGTTACTATTTTTAATCGTTATTGAGGCGCTGAATACTTTGATTGGTAGGGCTATTGACATGAATTTGCTGAAAGGCATAACAGTGGGAAAGGCACAAATACTTTACTGGTTTCACACTTCTTCTTCACAGATGACACCTTGGATCTTTTTTCATCCAGAGGTTAGAAATCTTCTGCATTTAAGATGCATCTTGATGTGCTTTCAAATGGTTTCTGTTCTAAAAATTAATATAAGTCAGAATTGGTGACATTGGGGGATACAAGAGATGAAAACTACCTTACCAATATTTAGGGATGCAAGGCTCTCAAGTGATCTATTTTATATTTGGGCATCCATTTGGGATCTAAGTACAAAGATTCTAACACTTGGGAACTGGTTGTTGACTCCATTGAGAGAAGACTTGCAGGTTGGAAAATAAAATTTTTATCCAAAAGGGGAAGACTCACACTCATTAAGAGCACACTCACCAACCTTCCCATTTATTTTCTCTCAGCTTTAACTATTCCGGTGAAGGTAACAAGGAGAGTTGAAGCCATTCGGTGCCGATTTTTATGGGGAGATGAGGAAGACAAAAGTAGATTTCATCTAGTTAAATGGGATGATGTCGAGAAACTGATCTATCAAGGAGGTTTAAGAATTAAGTCTCTTGTTGAGATGAACGTTGCTCTTCAAGGAAAATGGCTTTGGGCTATTTTAAGGAAGGGGATGATCTATGAAAAAAAATCATTGCGGCCAGATGGTGTGATGCTACTGGTGAGATTATGCATGGGAGAATGATCAGACCGTATGGTTATGGCCTGTGGAGGAAAAATTTGATGGATTGGCCAAGGTTTAAAAATTGTATCCAGTGGCCTGTGGGCAAAGGAAACCGAATTAAATTCTGGGTGTTTGATTGGATAGAGGGTAGCTGCCTCATGAGAAGTTTCCCAAGCATATATGCAATTGCCCAATCCAAAAACATGAAGATTGAAGATGCATATAAAATTATTGATGGCAGTGTGGTTTGGTTGGTCAATGTGATCAGAAATTTAAATGATTGGAAGGTGAATGAATATGAATCTTTGTTGCAAACCCTTGAGACTCAGCAAATCAACACTTGTAGTGACAAGATCTGTGGAAATTGAACCAGCATCATGAATTTTTTGTTAAGTCATATTATTCACAGATTATGCTGGCTGGGCAGTGTAGAAGAGGAATTTTTCCGGTCTCCCAAATATGGAAAAATAAAGTTCCACCTAGAATGACTTTTTTTTTTTTTCGTGGGAAGCTTGCAGAGAATGCATCTTGACAACTGATAAATTGATGAAAAGGGGTCTTATTATGGTTAATAGGTGTTACTTATGCAAGGGAGACACGGAACCATGTGATTAATCATATCTTGTTATGGTGCTCTACTGCTTATAACTTATGATGTATGATTTACGGGTTATTGGGTATCAATTGGGTCATGATTGGGTCGGTTAGGGAGAAGCTTTAGGTTTGGGATGGATTGCATAAAAAAAAAGATTTTGTAAAAATTATTCCATTGACCCTTTCTTGGGTCATATGGGAGGAAAGAAATAGTTGAGCTTTTGAAAATAGAGAGGTAGAGAATAATATTTTGGCTCCATTTTGTTAGGACATGACATTGTTAGGTTGGAAAATTTTGGAAATATTATTGACACCTTAATACAATTGTTAATATTTTGTATACGGGTGGTACTCTATTTGATACTTTTTTAATATAATTTCAGACTTTTTATATCAAAAAATCGGTTCACCTACCTCTTTTAGATCAATTTCCAGCTGTTTAAAATCATTCTCAAGGATTTCTGCCTGTTCTTATATTTGCAATCCTCTTTAGAAATTTTAGTATGATGGAAAAATTTTAAGCACGTGAAATCAGAAGAAAAAGAATGAGTAGTTGTTCAAGGATGATAGAATTGACAAGTCTTATCTGATTGTAAATAAATAGTTAAAGTGAAGGAAGATTGGAAACTTATGTCCAATTTTTCAAACCTTAGTTTGTTGTGGAAATAAAAGTAATAAACTTGTTATTCATGAGAATAGTTGCACAAATTTTGTTTCAATATTTGTAGTTGGACGACTCAACCTTTCAATGGAACCGCATTCATGACCACACAGACTACTGTCTTTTCTATACTAATAATAGAAATATTTTAATAATTTAGCAAAATCTTATTTTTTATTCTTCATGATACCTATATTGATTCAATATTGTATATAGTTCCTATAACATTCATGCATATTCTTCTAGGTTGAATTTTGCTTTATGATAAACATGTTAAGCATGATGAGACTACCAATATTTATCTTTTAGCTTGATATGGAGGATTTAGTTTTAAAAACTTATGATAAAAGAAAGATAAATAAATATAAGTGTCCAAAGTATTTGTATCAATGAAAAGATAAAAGGAATCCACTGAAGTTGAGAAATGAGAAGACTTTTCATGTCTTTCGAAGAGTATATATTTTGAGGTTACTTAAAATTTGTTAGGATCTAAGGAGAATCATTTGGAAGTTCGGTGCAAGGAGGAACCTGTAGTTTGCTTCTGTGATGGTTGTGTATGTGAACGAAGGCTAAACAATAAGAGATTTTGATAGGTAGGATAGATAGAAGTCCAGTGGTAGGAAAGTATTGGAGCATAACTTGATAGGATGTTTGAAACTTAAGAATCCGAGAAGACATTGTATTAATAAGATAAGTTACAGTTATAACAGTTTCTCCCTAGAAAATTTAGAACTTGAGTTATGAACATGAGGAACCAAGTAACTTCCAAGAGATGTCCACCCTTTCATTTTGGTTATCCCGTTTTGTTGAGAGATATGAACGTGTGAACTTTGATGAACGATCTCCTTTTTTTAAAGATACTTACCTAACTCTTTTTTAAAATATTTTTTGCGTTGTCTGTCTTTAGCACTTGTATTTTTGTCTGGAATTGAGTATGAAGTATGTTGTTGAATTTTCTAAATTCGTGACCAACTCATAAATTTTTTCTTTCATGAGGAATAACAATGTAATTCGTATATGATCATCCATAAAAGATATAAACCATCTATATTAGTAATATTGTTGATTTTAAATGGCCTCCAAACATCATTATGTTCTATACAAATGGCTTTGAAGATTTGCAGGCAATATGAGGTCTGGTATGCGAGAGATAAATGAGTTTTCTAACTAGTTTCTGGCATTTTTACGAGTCAACTGATGTACTACTACCTGCTTGCAATTTGTGGTTGCTCTTAATAAGTGATTTACCAGTTTGCAACCCATCATACCAGTCTCTTCTACTAAGTTTAGGATATAATTCCTTTGAAAAATGAAGATTTCTTTATTGGATCTGACAACTTCAATCCCCCAAAAAATATTGCAATTTTACTAAATTTTTTATTTCAAACTCTTGAGCAAGAAGTTCCTTCAACTGAGTCATCTCCTTTGTGTCATCTACAGTCACCACAATATCATCCACATAAATAATGAGAAGAGTGATCTTATCCTCACGATGTTTGATAAATAAGGTATGATCCGCATTATTTTGTTGATATTCAAAAGAGATCATAACTCTTCTAAACCATTCAAATCATATTTTTGGAGACTGCTTCAATCCGTATAAGGCATTTTTTAATTGATAAACTTTTCCTTGCGTCCTCTTATCTTCAAATCCAAGTGGAATTTACATGTACACCTCTTCCTCTATGTCTCCATGGAGGAATGCATTTTTTACATCAAATTGTTGTAGATCCCAATCAAGGTTAGCTGCGCAAGACAAAAGTATCTTAATTGTATTCATCTTCACAACAGGTGCAAATGTCTCCTGATAGTCAATCCCATAGGTCTGAGTAAATTATTTAGCCACCAATCTAGATTTGTGCTTCTTGATCGATCCGTCCCCTTTGTGTTTTATGGTGAACACCCATTTGCAACCAATTATTTTCTTTCCCAGTTGAGGTAAAATAAGTTCCCAGATTTCATTCTTTGTCAATGCTATCATTTTAGCCACCAATCTAGATTTGTGCTTCTTGATCGATCCGTCCCCTTTGTGTTTTACGGTGAACACCCATTTGCAACCAATTATTTTCTTTCCCAGTTGAGGTAAAATAAGTTCCCAGATTTCATTCTTTGTCAATGCTATCATTTTTTCAATCATGATTTTCTTTTACTTGGGATCTCTTAGAGCTTCTCTCCAATTCTGTGGAATAGACATAGAAGAAACAGACAAAACAAATGCTCTATAGAAGGGAGATAAAGAGTTATCGGAAACAAAGTTAGATATAAGTTGCTTAGTGCAAGTTCTCATTCCCTTTCTAATAATAATAGGTTTGTCTGATAAATCACAAAAGAAAGATAACTCACCAGTATCTTCTGGAAGTAGAGAAGATTCTTGACTTAGAACAGACTGCATGATGGCTTTTTCAAACTTCTCTTTCATTGAATACCTTTTCAAGTCTGGTTTATTTAGACGTCCAACATTATTTTCTTGATTAAGACTTTCTGCAATAGAATTCTCCTCTGTATATGAGTCTCAATTGTTACCCAATTAGGTATCATTTCTTCCTTCTCACTCTCCCCTTGAAGAAGTGTTGGGTTTGAGTTGAAGTAAGACTCATTCTTCCTAACTGTAACATCCATAGTTACAAAGTATTTTATAAATGGTGGATGATCACACTTGTAGTCTTTTTGTGTATAAAAATATTTAACAAATACACACTTAAGAGTTCTAGGTTCTAGCTTACTCACATTTCTAGCATGAACAAAGCACACATATTCAAACACTTTTGAGGGAACAATGTAGAAATTTTTTTCTTGTAAAACCGTCATAGGACTTTTAAAATTCAGGATCTGCAAAGGCATTTTATTAATAAGATGTATAGCTGAGAGAACTGTATCTCCCCAGTAACTCTTTGGTAGATTCATGGCGAACATTAGTGACCGAGCTACGTACAGTATGTGCCTATTTTTTCTTTCAGAAACTCCATTTTGTTAACTGAAGTAGGCACAACTTGTATGATGAATTATTGCATTTGACTCCAGGTAGGAATGAAACCCATTATCCATATATTCTGTATCATTATCAATTTGCAAAATTTTAATTTTAGCACCAAAATGTGTACATATCATTTGTGAAAAGATTGAAAATATGACAATACATCACTTTTTGCTTTTAACAAATAAATCTATATTAATCTAGTGCAATATGCAATAAAAGTAACAAACCATTTATGACTAGAAAGAGAGGTATTTTGAGTAGGTTCCCACACATCATAATGAGTAATCATAAAAGGATCAATACTTTTATTATTACTTAAATGATAAGAGTTCATCTTATATTTAGGAAGTTTGCATGCATCACAAAATAAACACTCCATAGAAGTTATTTTAAATAACTTAAGATATAATTTTTTTAAAATAAAAAAAGAAGGATGTCCCAATCGTCGATGCTATTGTAGTATTTCTATATTGACTTCATTATTCTCAGTAGTTGCTTGATTTTCAATTAATTTCAGATGTCTATGCAAGACATATAAGCTATCTTGCAGTTTACCAGTGTCAATCCTCTTTCCGGTTTGAAGATCTTGAAAGATGCAATGATCAGAAAAAAGTTCAATTTTACAGTTGAGATCTCTAGTTATGGCACTAATAGATAAAAGATTGTCAAAAAAACTAAACACATGTAAAACTGAATACAATGTAATAATAGGAATATAATTAATGGAACCTGTTCCTAACACGGGGGTGTATGACCCATTTGCTATACGGACATTATCCCTTTCAGTACAAGAAGAATAGATTAAGAATTTTTTAGAAAAGCTTGTCATGTGTCTATTAACTTCAAAATCTATAATCCAATTATCAAGAGTGGAAATAGGGTGAGCAATATTTGATGTGTCAACAGTTGATGGAGAGTTAAGTTAACTCAGAAGTCGTTTCAGATTTTGAATTTCTTCTGTGGAAAAGGCTCCAACGGATGGTGAAGCAGTTGTTTCCCTAACTTCAACAAGATTTGCTTGAGCTCTTGCGGTTACACCTCTTCTTCCTCCCTGACCTCTAATTGGTCTTTGTTGCAACTTCTAACAAGTTTCCCTAGTGTGTTTTGCCTTGCCACAATAGTCACACTTCCATATATTTCTGGATTGATCAGACTGAACCACTAATCCAGTTTTCTCAACTGGTGCAATGTGAAACATGACTTTTCTTCTACTCTCTTCTTATTGAACATAAGCATAAGTTTATTTTAATGAAGGAAATGGATCCTTACCAAGCACTTGGACCCGTATTTGATCATATTCGGTATTTATACCAGTTAAAAAATTATAAATTCACTCTTTTTCTAATAATTTCTGAAATTTGACTGCATCTGCAGGACACTCTGTTTGAAAATCTTGATAGTAATTTAATTTCTGTTATAATCCATTTAGTTCAGAAAAATATTGAGAAAGTCATCTCTCTTTATTTTGTGCTATGAACTTTATTTTAGAGTTCATAAATATGAGTGTCATTATCCATCTGTGAATATGTAAGAGATGATGCATTTCATATTTTTTCGGTAGTGTTAAGCAACAAATATATTCTGGCAATATGGGGTTGTATGGAATTTATGAATCATGACATTACCGATGAGCTCTAAGAGTCCCATCTATTATATTCTAAACTAACAACATCTGGTTTTTTCACCTCACCAGTAAGAAACCCTACAATCCTATAGATTTGATGAACAATAAATAAAATCTCGATCAAATAAGATAATTAGTTCCATCAAGTTTTACGGGACTTATTTTGTAATGAAGGGTTATCAAATCTAGTAACACTCACATTTTTTGCTTATGTAATCTTAGAATTCTAAAAATAAGAAGGAAAAATATCTAGTAATGAAAAACGGACCTCCTATCTGCACCAAGAAAACAAAAAGGGATCTAAAAAAACTAGAAAAAGGACAAAAAAATCAGAACCAGATCTGGCTCGGCTTGGCACTGACTCAGCGGACAGCTCTACTCAGGCATGGACGGACCATGTCGGAGTGGTCTGGCGCGCGGAATGGCCACACCTGACGTCCCGTGTGTGAAAAAGCTGACTGGCGCGAGGGAGGGGCTTTGTCCGGTCAATGCAACACGACTCAGCGCACGATCGGAGCAGCGTGGTGTGCATGAGGATCAGTTGACCAATCTCCAGATGTGGATCGACTAGATTAGAGCAACGGAGGGCACAGAACGGCAGATCTTTCAAATGCACGCAACCGCGTGAAAAAAAGACCGGATAATCGCGATCAAGCCGGATTTTGGGCGGAAAGGAACCAGATTTGTCTCAATCACGCTTTTCTGGCAGTATTCCACCGTTTTTCGGGCCAAATGGGATGAAGGCGGCGGCGTGTGTGGCGGGCGCGCACGGAAACTGTGACTGTTCTGGCTGGGTTTGAGCGGCGACTCCGTCTGGGTGATGTTGGGTTTAGTTTCTTCGGTAGTTGAGTACCAACTTTGGCCTATTTTGTTTATTTTAGGGTTTTATCAAAACTCCAAAAATAGTCTTCCTTTGACTACGATACCATGAAGTTTTTGAAAAAAATAAATTTCTAATTTTATTTTTTATTTCTTGTGTTTACATTTAGAAAATATATATAAAATGGTTATCCTTATTCTAGTTGGACTCTAATTATACGATATAATTATACTATTAGAACTCTAACTAATATAGTATTTTACTTAATATGAAATCCTTATCAACAAACCCTAAAATTTGAATGATTGTGATTATTTGCTTATTAAAGTTATTGAACTTACATTTTCATTCATTCCTTCCACATGAAGTCTTCGCTTTGATGGTTCACTCTTAGTCTTCTTCTTATAGTTTTTTTGCTTATATCATATGCTTTTCTGCAGAACGGAAACCAAGCAGCATGGATGCTATAGATATACATAATCGTGCTCGGGTTGAAGTATCAAATCTGAAGGATGAAAGAAGTGATTTTGATTTAGGGACGACCAAGAAGAAAGAAAGTCAGAAATTTCAAAAGGATCGACATCAAAACTCCAAAAATACAGGGGAAGAATATGGGAAAAACAGAACTTCAATCGCTCCCAGCACAAGAGGCAGTAATTTGAATATGTTGGATAAAGGTGGTTCTCCAACTAGTGAGTCAAGCCTTACATCTTCTCCTGTTGTAGGTCCAGCTCCACTTTGTCGGCAATTCTGGAACGCGGGAAACTATAAATTGTTTCAGGATCAGAGTAAAAAATTTTCATATCTAAAAAGTAAGCTGCTTAACATCTTTAAAATCAACACAACTTACTTTTTCATGTTTTGTTTTCAGTTTCATGGATTGTCCTAGTATTTGTATTCATTTCCTGAATGGAGAACCATATGCTCCCTAGTGTTATATTTATATTTACCTAATTACCTTCATGATTATATCTGTTGTTTGAATAAACCTGTAAATTGGTTAGTCTAGATATTCTCAGTTGATCAGTAGCTTTTCTCTGTTGCTTGAGGACTCATTGCTGCATGGAATAGAATTTTTCTTGTGCATTTTGAATGGGGATCCATCTGGTTCCTGGTGATTATGAGGTTAAAAGTTCTGTTAAAGTTATACTGACTTAATTACCTTCATGACTACAGCTATTGTTTGAATAAACATGCACATTGCTGAATAATAATATAGATATTCTCTATTAATCAGTGAATATTCCGCCTTTGAGAACTGCTCTCTGCATTGGAAAACTGTTGGAACAAATGTAGAATCTAACTTATTAATTACTCGCATGAGTGTTTTTCTTGATCTAACTGTCTGATACTTGACTATCATCACTTCACTTTTGGGTGCATTTACAGGGGGAAGTAGTTATTTGCATGTGCACCCTATGTTCCTTCACTCCAACGCCACATCTCATAAATGGGTCTTCGGTGGTATATTCTACTTACAGAATTTGTTTATTTACTTAATAAGTTGTATCTTCAACCATAGTTCAACCACTTTGTATTTACTCATTTAACATGTCAACTTCCATTCCCAGTCTTCTTTTATGCTCCAATATTTTGTTGCTTCTTTTTGCAGCTTTTGCAGAGCTACTTGACAATGCTATTGATGAGGTAGGTTCTTAATTTTTTTTTGTCAGAACCATGTTTTCGAAATTTCTGATTTGGAAGAATATGGTGGTGTTACCAGGCTAGATTCACAACATTATACTGATCAAATAATGTTATTGGAAGATTCATTGAGCTGAAGTTTATGGTCTTGGAGTCTGCTCTAAAAAAATCTTTCGTTTTTCCATTTTCATAATTGTGGAATATTTTATCCATCTTCAAAATTTCTCTCTTTGCTAAATTGCTCACAATGAGTGAAAGTATATAAAAAATATTACTTATTTTAATTAAACAAGAAATTAAATATTATCTTATTTTCTTTGTTGAGTTTTATCTGTGCTTATTTAGGATTCTTTTCAGCTAGAATCTTATTTTAACGTATTGTGTTGGCTGGAGTAGCAGATAGAAAATGGTGCTACTTTTGTTAGTGTGGACAGAATCTTCAATCCTAGGGATGGGAGTCATGCTTTGGTAATCCAAGGTATTTGTTCCAGTCTATTGGTTGTTTACCAAAGTAGTAGATAAGAGAATTTTAAGAATTGCTAATATTTCTGTTTTAGTACTCGAGGGTATTTTTGTTGAAGTTTCTCCTTCCAATCTTATATATGCGATGAACAGATGATGGTGGTGGGATGGACCCAAATGCTATAAGGCATTGTATGAGCTTTGGGTTTTCAGACAAACAAAAGGAGCATGCCATTGGAAAGTGTATGACTATATGTCCCTGCTAGTATGTTTTCTTTGCTTTCTCTTTCTTTCTGGAAATCACTTAGCTTCTAGTATTTCAGATGGAAATGGCTTCAAGACTGGCTCTATGAGACTTGGGGCAGATGTTATTGTCTTCAGCCGTCACTCTAAAACTAGGTATTCCCTGACATTGGCCCCACTTCAGGACTTAATAAAATTTATAGTTTCTGTTCATTTCTATATTTATTGTTATTTCAAATCAAAGAAATGGATAAGACATAGGTATCTTTGTTGGGTTTTGGTGCCCCGTTCCTCTTTCATATTGAATACAGGGAATCTTTGTGCTTCAAACTTAAGATTGATGAAGTGTTTGATACTTCATTGTTGGTTTAGTGACATCTTACTTAAAATTATTGGAGCCCTTTTGGCAGGATGCTGACTCAAAGTGTTGGACTCCTCTCTTATACATTTTTGAGACAACTGGACTACGACAGAATAGTTTTACCTGCAGTGAGTTTAGCCTTTTTTACCTGCTTCAGATTTATGTGCTTTGCCAACTTGTTTACAGTATGCAAATCTTTGTGTTTGTTTAATAGGGGGCCAACAAGTTGAGTATGATATTTCAGTTTCATTAGGATAAATGTCAGGGTTATGGTTGTATCCAAAAGATTGGGTTGGATTGACCAAGGCATATCTGGAGATGCTTGAATCCTTCTGGTTGAAGTTCTTTTCGTGCCACTTGTTATAGTTCTGTGTCAACACTTTGCTGCCTTGTTAGTTGCCTTTTCTTGCTCTTCCCCTTCTCAGTTACTCTTGAACAGGTTTGGTAAGCCTTCCAAATTTTGTCCTCCCTTCCCTCACAGCCTCCTCAGACTCCCAATATTTCCCTAGCAGATTCTGCAGATTGTTTGGCATCTTCCAACCTCAAAAAATCAAATGAAGACACTATTGTAACTGAGTCAACCTATTCTTTATTCTCCTCCTGCTTCTGTTCTTCCCGTGACTGTTCTTCTTTTGTGGCCAAGACAGTCGCCAACTCTGCCTCTCTGGAGATCACTTGTAGCTTCCTAACTGAAGCAGTTGCCTAATGCCACAACTTCTCCCTCTACATTGATCCTCTGAAGCATTTTTGACACATGCTCTGACAGTGCAATGATCCCAAAATTCACACAATAGACTTCAACTGAGCTCTTCCGACGTTTTCTGCTCTCTCTTCAGCAGCTTCTTTTGGTTGATCCTAACTATCTTCTTTTTTTGCCTGGTTCCTAGGCTTGCTTGCATCCAATTTTCTTCTTTACAGTCTCGGCATCATTCCAAGCTCCAAAAAACTTCTTTTTGGGTCTACTCTACCTAATTTCTCGGCATTGTCCAGTCTTTTTGAAAATTGAATCTACTGCCCTTCCACATGTCTACCAGAGCATGCCACCCCCACTGCCCATCTTTCAGATTCTGCCTCCTGGTGCCTCTGCTGCCATAGTTTTTTGGTAGTGTCATAACCCCTGGTACTGTCATATTCTGGAAGTACTTATTTGACACTTTATAAAGTACCTCTGTAATCTTCTTAAAATCATCATTTAATTCTAAGTAGGAAAACTAATTCTAATTTGTCTTACATCAGAGTACCATTTTTAAAGATTTTTTGGGAAGTTCCTACTCACTTATTGAATACTGATAAATTTCTCCAAGCTTGTCAACTGAATCGTGCTTTATTTCCAAGGATTTGTCTGATATGTTCCAGAGCAGTTGAGATTTACATCATCTGTTTTCGCATCATGATATGACCTGAAGAACTTGGTTCCAAGGATGTGTCTGATATGTTCCAGAGCAGTGGAGACTTACAATCATCTGTTTTTGCATTGCGATATGACCTGAAGAACTTGATTTCATTTATTTTATACTTTTGGTGCTTCTTGGGCTTCACAAAATACAATTGAGGGCTTCTCCTCATTTTTTCTTTTGGTGCTGTTTTACGGCTCTGATTTACAGATCTTCTCATGAGATTTTGTTAATAGTATGGGCTTGTGAAGAGAGAACCCAACAATTTCTTAACTAAGAAAATACCACACTTTTTTTCATAAATTTCTTCTTGCCTCCCCTCTTTCGAAGAAGACAGCCTATATATACATATAAAAGAAAGAGTAGTTATCTGGAAGTTATTTCCAGAATTAACTACCTTTTGTTCTTATCTAGACTTATTCTCCCTAATACACGTCTACACGTAACATATCATTTTACACATGATACATATTGGCGTATTCTCCCTAATACACAAGTCCACCCGTAAAGATTAGTTATTTGGAAGTCATTTCCAGAATTAACTACCCCCTTGTACTCATCTAGACTTTCTCCTTGATACCCATATCCACACTTAACACATCATTTTCACATTTATTTCCAGAATTAGCTACCTCTTGTCCTTTCTTGTCCTTATCTAGACTTATTCTCCCTAATACACATTTCCATAATGCATCATTTTACACATTTATTCTCCCTAATACACCATAGTATTACTCATAACACTACTCCCCTTTTGAAAAATTGGGTGTTTGCCCAAACGGAAAATGAGAGGAATATTTTCAAGAGAAAGTTTTTGCCTGTTGTGCATCTTCTTCAGGAATTTCTAGAGTTTTTGGATGCATAAGGTCCATCCATCTGCAGTGAGTCTACAATTTCCAGCTAAAAAACTCTCTTATGCTGGTGCCCAGGATTGGAATTTTGTCATTGCAGTTGAAGCACAAAATATTTTGAGCATGTCTTCTCTCCAGTTCTGGCACCGAAAGCCACTTCACTGTGAATGATTGAGATAGAGAAGTGCAACCAAACCAGGCTCGTTGGTGGATAGAAAAGGCCGTGGAAAATCCAACTTAGTATAATGAGGAAGAAAGGTCTATCTCGGTCACCCCCTGCCGAAGGATAAGTCTTACATTCCCTGTTCAGTTGTACACCACAATCTCTAGGATCCTTCTCGGCAGAATGGCAAGAGGATAGTTCCTCAAAACATTTAGCTTAAAAATCAAATTTTAGTAGTCCTGCTCACAATCGTCATGATAAGTTTTAGAGAAGGATTCAAATGTCGATTGTAGATCATCCATAACGATTAGTTCTTACACCAGATTATTACGGTCCTGATTTATGGATCTCGTTATTGAATTTTATTAATGGTATGGGCTTGTTAAGTAAAACCCAACAATATCTCGAGTCAAAAAGTATTTAACTCTTTTTTTTCATAAATTTCTTCTTGACCCCCCCTCTACCAAAGAAGAAAACCTGTACTTTACAAGAGAAATAGTAGTTATCTGGAGGTTATTTCCAGAATTAACTGCCTTCTTGTCCTTCTCTAGATTTATTCTCCCTAATACACATGTTCACACTTCATACATTATTTTACACGTAACACATATTGATTTATTTTCCCATTACACTTGTCCATTCATGAGAGATTATTTGAAAGTCATTTCCGAAAGTAACTACACCCCTGTCCTTATTTAGACTTATTCTCCTTAATATACACGTTCACATTTAACACATCATTTTACACATTTATTTCTAGAAATTAACAATCCATTGTCCTTACATAGATTTATTCTCCCTAATATATAGATCCACACTTAACACATTATCTTACACATTTATTCATCCTAATGCACCATATTATTACTCATAAGATGGTGAATATGAAGAAAGAGGTTAAAGCTCTTTGGTGCATGCTTTCTTTATTGGGTTAAAAGTGATTTGGCTTAAAAAAATAGCAAGTTTTTTGGGGACTACTCTTCACCATTTCTGATCCGTTGGATTATCCTCTTCCTTTTTTAGCTTTCTTTTTTATCCTTTTCATCCTTTTCCTAATAATATATTTTCTTCTATTCCCCCCAAAAAATTAATGCCTAGACAACACAACTAGATACATGCATACATGAGAATGAATAAACTCTTTGCAAAAGTCATCACCTTTCAGGAAGTGTGATGCTATATTCCAGTGCCTACGTGGAAAACTGAGAACCTAGGGTTCATTAAAACAAAATTCTTTCAAGTGATTTATATTTTTTTTCTGATATTATATTAAGGATTCATATAGGTTATGTTTATATGCCTTTATTTATATGTAGTTTTCAGAACTCAAAGTTTTTTTCTTTTGTAGGTGGACTTTAAATTTAGCTCATCAACTGGAGCATTTATACCAATTCGGGATCATGGTGAAGAACATTTTTCTTCTAATCTGTTTATGCTGTTGAAGTGGTCCCCTTTCGCAACTGAAGAACAAATGTTAAAACAAGTAAGTCGCATTCAAGACAAGTTGTCATTTCGCATTAGGTCTTTGGGGTAATTATGCTCTAGATTTTGAACAATCATCTAACACTGTTTAACTTGCTTGCTTTAGAGGCTTTATTGTTGGATGATGAATGTGGAAAGGAATAAGGTTTTGTGTATGAAAGGGACTTGTTAAGAGAATCATTTGATCAATCTCTGAATAATGAGGATTCATCGAGAGAAAATCCTTCGATCTCTAAATCTAGAAAAGAAACTAAAGTTAGAATAGAAATAGTTTAACACACAAACTGCCTACAAACTATAGGAAAGTTTATTAGGTACCTTTTTTTCTCTTCTTGTCTCCATGTGTAAATTATTGACTTGGCCCAGAACATTACTCCCTCCGGTGAAAGCTGGCTAAAAAGCCTTCAAACTTAAAGGCATCCTTTCCTATTGCTTCCCCCATCTGCCTGGTGTACTTCATCATGAGCACATTTATTGTGATAGTTTCAGAAATAACTCAAATAATTATTGGATGATTGTGATGCTCCATCTGAGTGAACAAGTACTTCTAAAGTCATCTATAAATTTTGAACACCAGTTTGTGCGTGTATGCGTCGCTATGACAGGGTTGAAAATCTGTCTGTGTCACTCCTCTGCTCGCCGCTCCTATATGCCTCCATTCGCTCTGTTGGTCCAACATGATGTCACTCTTTGCGCCAGAACCACACTATAATGTGGTGGTCAGTCACTTCTACTCAAGCCTCTGCTCATTTCTAGTGGCCCCTCTGCACAGCTGCACACCACCATCCGCACTCTTCAGCAGCACAACTGTGCCAACTGCCTCATTGAACCTAGCTGTGTCCAGCTTGTCTTCTTAGCCTAGATTCACAAATGTTAAAGGTTACATCACAATCCACAAGCTCATACTCCCGCATGGGGAATATCACCAACAAATTTCAGCCAATCCAGATTGCCTACTGGTTCACATAAAAATATTATCTAAGTCCCAAGTAATGAGTACCAACCTCAAAGGAAAAGAGAAGTTCTGCCATCTTCTGGGTAGTGGACCAAAACCCGAAGGCTCCACGTTTCGTGTTTGGGATGAAGAAGATTCCACGATCCTGACATGACTTTGGAACTCCATGACTTCAGAAATCAATAAAACCGTAATGTTCCTGTCCACAGTAAAAGCAGTGTGGAATGCAATTGGTAAACTCTACTCTAACGTTAAGGACACTGCACAAATTTGTCACCTGAGGTTAAGATGGTCGACCAAATAAGTGAACATGTCAGTAAATAAATATTCTAAAAAACTGGTGGAAGGAATTCTACCAATACCACAGCATGACCAAGGATTGCATTAAAGATACAGCTCATCTATTAAAAAGTTTATAGAAAAAGATTGTGGATATCAATTTCTAGCAAGACTAAATATTGAATATAATCAAGTATGACTTCGGATCTTGGGAAAAGAGTCAAAGTCATCACTTAATTTCTATTATAACATCAGAAGAGAGTAGAACAGAGGTCATGTTAGAACCTCGCTCCACCAATAGTTTAGTCACTTGATTTCACGAGATTCTAAATCTCGCCAACAAGCAAGGGAGGTAAGTCACTCTGAGAACTCAATTTTGAGAATATATAATAGGAACAATCTTTTTTGTACCTTTCGTAGAGTACCCAACAAACTAAATAAAAGTGTTGAAAATTGCATCACAAGCTCAGTACCTCCAACAAAGAGTGTGGATACAAAATTAACTCACAGAAGATTTCCAAATAGGTTGATATGGCCAACCAACAGAAGAAGAAATAAGCAAACAAGGGAAGTAAGTCACTCTTAGAACTCAACTTCGGGAACATATAACAGGAACAATCTTTTGTGTACCTTTTGTAAAAGTCCAATGCACCAAAGAAAAACATTGAAAATTGCATCACAAGCCTACTACCTCCAACAAAGAGTGGGGATACAAAATTAACTTAGAGAAGATTCCTAAATAGGTTGATATGGCCAACCAATGGGAAAAAAGAAACATATGCAAATCTTATTGTTCTTAAATCTAAGATTAAACGATTGGAAAATCCATTGGAAGGTCTTGAGAAATTCACAGGTATAAGTGTAATAAAACACTCAGATATGATTTTCTTTTCATATGGCTTATATGTATGAGATAAACTCTCTGAAAATTCTTGGGTCATAGACACAGAAATCACAAATTATATGACCAATGCTTTTAAACATTTTAATACATATGTTTTATGTCTAAGTAATAAGGAGTTTGTTATTGCAAATGTTTCCTTCAATACCATTGCAGGTAAAGACTAACATTAAATTTAGTCTTATCATTTTTCTAGAAAATGTGTTATATGTTCTCAAATTGTGTACTAATTTTGCGTCGGTCAATAAGTTATCACAAAATTTGAATTGCAAAATAACATTTAGATCTTCTCATCGTGATGGACTAAAACTTGGGAAAAATGAATGAATGTGTTGAAGTCACAAACAAATTCCACTACTTAAATGCACCTGAAGGATCCTTCTCTACTATTACTACTTATTCTACATATAAGATTTGACTCTATCGTAAAAGATTCCGGCACTCATCATTTTCTATCTAATGTTATATTTTTCTTATTATTAAGAATTTATAATATGAAAATTTATACTACAATATTTGTGAGTTTGTAAAACACAAACGTATAATCTTTTCTATTAATAATAAAAGAAGTTTGGTTAATTTTTCATTAATCTGCAGTGATAGTTAGGGATCAACTCATACACCTAATATTTTTGGGGTTTAATGATTTGTGTCATTTATTAACAACTGCACTAGAATCACTTGACTATTCTTACTTAAAACAAAATATGATATTAGTCATATCATATCCTAATTCTATAAAATGATAAAAATTCAATTTAGAATTAGTATAAAAAGATACCACACGCACAATGCCAAAGATTTTTTTAACATACACTTTATTATTTTTCTATCAGAAAGGCAAAATGAAGTAGCAAAATGCAATAATAGTATCTTTTACTCACTATTAAAGTTGTTCTTTTCCAAAATAATGTTCCAAAATAATTTTGGGAGAAAGCTGTCCTTAGAACCTCCTACATTATTAACCGCTTTCTTGCCATCGTTCTTGACTTCAAAAGTTCTTTAGGACACTTTGAAAATGTTACCTAGCAGTAAGTGTCGTAAACTATCAATCCATTGGATATTTGGATTTGTTGTCTTTATTCATATTCATTCTCATCGAAGAGAAAAACTTGATATTCGGGCCCTTAAATGTATATATGTGGGGTACTGTTGATATGAATATTTTGTTCTCTGAACAATTGTGATATTTTTTCTTATATAGCTCTCACTATTAGTTTCTTGTAATTATTTAGAATATCTATTTTATAAGAGAAATTTCCTTATTTGTACTTAGAAATTCTTGTATATATATAAGTTATTTGTAATACAAAAAATGTAATGGAAATAAAATAGATATTTTTTTCTAAAATTTTACATGGTATCAGAACAGAGTAAGGGTATTTTAGGGTTTTATTTTTAGAGTTTCTTTTAAAATCCTGGAATCTTCTCATCAGCCACCCAAAATAGAGGGATAGTCTCACCAGGCAGCTGGCCGCCCTACTCCAGCGACTATCTCCGCCCTACCCAACTTGCTTGCTCCGCCGAACTGCAGCGGTTCAAGCAGCATTTCACGCGCAGCTTTCTACTTCGCATTCTCAACTCATCTGGTTCACATACCCGACTCATCTGCTTCTTCGCGCACAACCCTCCGCTTGCTCCGTCCGCCTGTAGTGGTTCACGCGGTATTTCGCGCGCAACCCTCTGCTTCGCATTCCGATCCGTCCGCTTGCAGCTATTTGCGCTACTTCCTTCTTTGGTTCGTGCACACCCGACCTAACTCGATCTGCTTTCTTGGGTTCCACGCAACCGCATGATGCCAAGCTCTCTAGTTCGTGCTTTGAGCTGCGAACTGCTCCGTTCGCACAAGACACCAGTTCGCGCACGAACAACTTTGTAGATCCGGCTTTGCTGCCCAACCCAATCGGTTTTTTAGGATTCGCACCGCCACATGTAATTGTTGTCTCCCAGCCGCGCATGGTTGCAATCTGCCCTCCCTTGGCATGCAAATACCATCTGTTTTCGGAGCTTAAGTGAGCTATTGAGGTGAGCCGCTTCCAAGCTAATCTGAACCATTTTTTGGAGCCAATCTGAGCTATTTTTGGAGTCATTTTTGCTGTTCAACAGATCTGGTTTCAGGTTGTAGCAATTTTGACATCCTTGATAATGACAGGAATAAAAAGATTGTTGGTTTCAGTTCGGGTTACCCTTCATCAACTATTAGTATATCAAAGATAGTAAAATCAGACAGTACTCCTCTCCCTATTATTTTTAATTCTGATACTTGGATTTTGACTCTAAACTAACAGACACATGACAGACTTTTCTAAAGATTTTCTAATCTATTTTTCATGTATTCAACGGGA